TTTTTTCTTCAACTTTTTAGTCCAAACTTATTCTTGTTTTTCATTTTTAAAAGGGTTGTATATAAAATTAAGTGCAATAAAAAAAATACAATTAATTTAATCTTAACATGTGCCTTAATGACACACACTTATAACAAGACCTTTTATCATTTCATAGTTGTTTGATGTAAAATTTCATGTATATACTATGTTGTATGTATCTTTATATTATTATGAATGTAAAAAGCATTGAATTTTTTTTAAAATTTCCAACATTTTTTTTATGAGTTAACTGATTTTTTAAATCAAAATTTTCTTAAATTAGTTCTCTAAATTTTTCAAGACTGTGTTTGGTTAATAAATTTAAAGAGAGATTTGAAAAAGAAAAAGAAAAGAAAAAATACAAATGACATGTAGGTGAAACATAGTCATATTAGATTCGCATTTTACCTATTTTTTTTTAAAAAAAATTCTTTTCAAATAACTTTTTAAATTCATGAACCATTCATAGATACCTAAGGCTGTATTTGGTTCATGAATTTGAAAAAAAAATTAAAAGAACAAAGAGAAAGAAAAAAATAAAAATAAATATGAATGAAATATAACTTTATATCGACCAGGTGTAATTTTGTAAAGTTCACAAAATTGGGAATTACATTTTCGTTTAGAAATGAGTTTGGAATAATAATATAAGCCCAATGTTGAGGTTGGGCTTTGTAGATATGAAGTCCCCGTTAAATTGCAGAGCCCAGCATGAGCTTTGTTGTAAGATGCAGCTAAAATAATTGGGCTTCGTTTGGGACGAAGGATTGGGTTAGGTTTGGAGTTACTTTAGTCACAAAAAGATAAAATAAATTTTTTAGTTTAATAAGACAAAACAGCACATCCAACCTATAATCATTAGACCATCTCCAACGCTTAACCAAACCTTACATCAGATTTGAAATTTGGTGAAAAAGTTACTTTTTGCAGCTCCAATGGTTTCATCAAATTGGTATCAAAACAAGAATTCACCAAATTTTTCATCAAAGTGAGAACAGGGGGAAGATTTCACCAATTTACTGTGCGTGAACGTTGGGGGAGACCAACCGGTCAACTAGCCGGTTGACCAACTGGTCGACCGGTTTCCTTGCAAATAGGTTGGTTCAAACAGGTTAAAAGGTTCAAAGAGGTAAAAAAAAAAAAATACACTAACCGGTCGATCGGCCGGTCGACCCCTGCTTTGATGAAAACCATTGGAGCAGTCTGTATCAGATTGAGAGAATGGTCTTTTTTTTACTCAGATTTGGTGAAAAATTTGGTGAACCGTTGGAGATGCTTTTACATTCTTTCTCTCACAAAAAGTCAAAAAAGCGAAAAAAAATCCTTCTCAAACGAGACAACTAGACTTTTTAGCCCAATACCAAAATAGTAAAGTCAAAAAGCTAAAAAACCAACCTACTTCCCAAACGAACCCTAGGGCTATTTGTTTGAATTGGATATATGACGTAACTCACTATTTTAGTTTAGAAGTTAAAAAATTACTTAAAAGAAATTAAAAAATCAATAATCTATGTAGATGTTTAGGAAGTGGGTTTTTATATAAATTTTTTTAGTTGTAGGATATTATTTGAGAAATTTTTTTTTGTGTTTGAGAAGATAGTTTAGTTTTTTTGTGGTTGAATGTGATGTTTGTGAGAGAAAAAGTGAAATGATTATGGGGTTTGATGTGATATTTTGTTTGGATTTATTTTATTTTTTGTTTTTTAACCAATTTGTCTTTTAGTGGAAAAAAAAAAATCCCAAAAACCAAGTTCCCAAACAGCGCCTATAGCAAAAAATTAAAGATTTTCTTTTTCTCTACTTTTTACATTTTTTTATATAAAAAATCAAAAAATTATTTCAAATATACTACTTTCTTTACCGTATATTTTAATTAAAAAATCAAAAAATTATTAAAATAATTTATTCCATGTGAAGCCTAAGAGATTGAGGTCTTGTTTGTCATAACTTTAAAAAGTTAAAAGTCAAAAAATTATTATCCTATTTAAGTCACATCATCTTATTTAAATCATATCACATCTCTATCAAATCATTTCAAATCTAATTTATATTTAAATTATATTTTATAAAAAATTAAAAAATACATTTATTTAGATTATTTCAAACAAACGAAAAGATGAAAATTCAACACTATTTCCAACGCCAGAGTCCAGACCCTATCGTTTTGGTCTGGGTTAGTGGAAGAATATTCAACATCACAAAAATTCAAGTCCCATTTGTCTTCGGTCTAATCCTGCACCCATTTTACCTACTTTTCACTTTTTATTTTTAAACAAGTAAAAAAAAACTCATATCTATCAACTGATAATAATCAAACTAACTGGGATTCAATTTTTTTAAGCCTACACACAAAGAGAGCCCAATCTCTGACCAAAAAACATAGAGCTTAATTAGCCACTTCACAAGTGGGGAAGTCTTCTTGCTCCCCCATAAAAATACAGAGTCAGAAGAACACGTTATATATATATATATATGCAGATAAGATATTGCTGAAAGATGATTGGTCCTTTAAACTCAGATTGTTTTGTTTGTGTATGAAAGACCACCTAATCACAGAGAAATGTTAGGAATGAAAAAAAATTTATGAAAATGATCGTGAAAAGATTTGTGACTCTTAAATTACCTTAATTAGTGTGTGGTGTTTTATTCTAAGTATAATTCAAAGTTCACAAATTATTTTCATGAAAAACTTTTTCATGATACCTAACATTCCTGCCTAATCACATTCATATATATATATATATATTTTATCACAAAAAACTGCTTAATTTAAAGGAGTCTGGTCTTGTCTGTTTAACTGTTGTTATATTCTTAAAATTTTGGTTTTGATTTATTTCCAACTATTTGATCACATATCGAGAAGTTAACATGTTTTAGGGGAAAATTAGCAGAAGAAAACGAATCGAAAAGCAAGAGAGAGAGAGAGAGAGAGAGGGAGAGGGGCTGACCTTTCGCGAAAAAAGGCAAGAGGAGAGAGAATAGAAAGGGCAAGGATGCCACGGAAGACGCAGAAGACGAATTGATTGACGCCAACGTTGAGAGCTACTTTGGTAATGACATGGTATCCTCCATAGGAGACCTGTACCATTGCCATTGCTATGTGTGCTTTCCATTTTTCTCCTCCTCCATTAATCTCCGTCGCCGCCATCACGCTGCTGCTATCCACCTCTCTCTCTCTCTATATGTTTGTAAGTCTAAACTGAGTGATGATGCAAGGGATGCTGAATTGATTTGGTTACGATAAGTGAGGCTGCTTTTATCCACAAGTTATTGGTTGGTGTTACACAGAATTCTAATTCGTAGAGAGAGTTGGATTTATGATTTTTTTTTTGTTGGATAATTAAAGAATATGAGGAGGTATAAAATTTGTAATTGGCCTGAGTTATGACTATGTAATGCCTTAAAATCAATTAATAATTTTTTGCTTTTACCATTTATTTTAAGAAAAATTGCATATCAATGAATTAGGGTTATTTTGGAAAAATGATTATAATTAATTTTTTGATTAAAAACTAATTATAATTAATTTTTTTGTAAAAGAGGAAAGTGGATTATAATTTGGGAAGTGAATTATAACTCACTTCCCAAAAGACCATTTAGCGACAAAAAAATTATGGTGTAAATGCATTCATATAGTCGGTACAATTCTTTTTGTGTCACAATTGTATCAAAAAAGATTTTTATTTGTAGTATAATTATTTTGTGACTGTCTCATCCATTTGTAATTTTCTCTTCACTTTAATAGTTTTTTTGGTTTTTTTTGGCAATGTCATATTCAATCTTTCATCAAATGTTTCATCTTTAAATTTGATAAAAAAAATTGGTGAAAACGGTACTTTAACCGTTTCATCACATTGACGTCAAATGAAATTTCATCAAATCAAGAGAGCTTTTATTTTATTTTTATCAAATTTTGCAAGTGTCCATTAGTGGATGACCAGCTAAACTATCGGCCAAACGACCTACGTGTCAACCGAGTTTTGGAATGAATTAGAAATTTTGTAAAAAAATTTAATGAAAATTTACTCTGGGCCATGATGACTGACAGAATTGATGAAAATTTACTCTTTATCGTTAGAGTGCATCATATCAGATCAAACTTTTTATCAAATTTGATGAAGCAATGAAGACGCTCTAACAAGTCACTATTAAATTTACGGGGTTTGAAGTCTAATGGATTGTTTGGAAAATGCTAGATTATTATACTTTATGTTTTCTTACGAAAAAACATTAAATATGAATTGTGTTTGAAATGATATGATAAAGATATGATATGATTCAAATGAAATGATTATAATTTAAATAGAATAATATACTAAAATAACATGTTCTATTTTAACACATACTAAACAAAGCTTAAATAGTCATGAAAAAAAGGCACTAGAGTGCCAATGTGAGATTTTGAATTCAAAATTTATGACGTACTAATGCTATTTTTGTCAAAACATAAAATTTCTATTAAATTATTTTTTTTGTGGGCGGATAAGTTTATCTCAAATCTCTACTTACAAAATTAAGGAGAAATGAAGGGAAGTTATCAAATATATATATATATATATATATATGTATATCATAAAACAGGATGGTTTTTGAATTTGTCTTACACACATTTGTCTTACTAGGACATTTGGACGGTTTAGATCTATTCAAATTATAAAACAACGGTTGAGATATATTTTTCAAAAAATATCCTACATGTACATTTTCTATATTCCCGCTTCTCTCTCTTACTTTTTCCTTTTCTCACCCATCCTTCCATGATCCTACCTTCCTCTCCCTTTTCTTTTTATTTTTTTTTTATTTTCTCCCATTTTTATTTTCTCTCTATTTGTTTATTCTTTTTTTATTTTCTCCTTTTTATTTATTTATTTTTATTCATATTATATGGAAAAGTCTGTAATCCCAAAATTAAGAACCAGATTTTACTGTGTGTAGTGGAGATTAAATTAATGAATTTTATAGTCCACAAATTAAATGAATTTGAACAGTTAATTTTTTTTTTTATAAATATATTGAATACCTAGTAGACTTCATAAATTTAAACCTCATATAATCTTTAACATATTTTTGTAAAGCAAGACGGTTTTTAAATCTTCAACATATTTTTGTTTTATTAGGACATTTGGATAGCTTAGATCTGTTCAAATTATAAAACAATGTCTGAGATATGTTTCCTAAAAAAATATCCTACATATACATTTTTTGCTTTCTCGCTTCTCTCTCTCTTACTTTTTCCTTTTCTCACCCATCCTTCCATGATTCCATGATCCCACATTCATCTCTCTTTTCTTTTTATTTTTTTATTTTTCTCTCTATTTGTTTATTTTTTTAATTTTATCTTTTTTGTTTAATATATTTTATACATATTTCCATACAATGTATGTATGCCCGTAAAACACTAGGACATTACAGGCATTTGTACAATTTCCATATAATTATATAAGTAAAAGTAATATTGTATGTATGTTCGTGGAAATTGTATGTATGTCAGGCACATCTATCTATCTAGCTATATATTATATAAGTAAAAGCCAGTTTTCGTGAGAAATTTTGTGAGAATTCTAAAATTTTATAATAAATTTGTGATTTTATCAAATTAAAAACTAAATTTAAATAGTGTTTGAATTACAATTATATTCTAATTCTAACATTATTTACACCGTGCCTTCAGGCACGGGCACACGCTAGTCTATATAATAAAACAGAACGATTTTTGAAAATATGTTAAAGACAATTATCCTACTAAGACATTTCAATGGTTATGATTCATTTGTCTATTTAGATAGATGGCTAAGATGACCCCCTTAAATATATATATATCTATATATATCTACACTTATTTCCCGCCCAAAGAATGGGCTTCCTACTTACCCACGTCTCCCCTCTATTCTATCTTTATCTCTCTCTTCTCACCTTCCCGCTTGCCCACGTCTCCCCTCCCTTCAATCTTTATCCTTCTTCCTTCTCTGTTCTCACCCACCCCATTCTTTCTATATCTCTCTCTCCCTCCCGTTCTTTTTCCTCCTCCATACCCAGTGTGAAATTACTCGGCTGGGACTCACTGCTGAGCTTGGCCTCTCTCTGAAAATCATCCTTATTCCTACATTCATAACAGTCCTTCACCGTTTTCTCTCTCTAATCTCTCTCTCATGGAGTCGACTCTCCGCCAACATTCCCTTCTCCATCCCCTCGCTCCGATCCAAACCTCCACAAATTCGCCTTCCAAAACCCTAAAATCTCCTCCCGATTGAGACGATCATCTTTGCACTCCTACTCTTTCTCATCAAGCCCTCACTCTCTCTCTAGGGTTTCCGATTCTGTACTCTGTCGGTGCCACAGCAACAATGATGACTCAGCCTCAGCTTCTCCATCGGATAACTCATCATCCGTCGGTGATTCAGCAGGTGTTGAGGAACGCGGTTAAGAAGTTCGATGATTATATGAACTCGGCCTCAGCTTCTCCATCGGATAACTCATCCTCCGTTAACTGTCGGTGGGACTCGGTGATTCAAGAGGTGTTGAGGAACGCGGTTAAGAAGTTCGATAGTGTTGACGTTTTAGAGAGAGATTGTATCACTCTGGTATTTTCTGATTTCAATTGCTTTCAATTGTAAACTGATTCAATTGTTCTTGCGATCATAGTTTCATTCACAAACTGATTAAATGTTCTTTTATCTCTCTGCTCTCCAGACCTGTTCTTCTATCTTTGATTTTGTATTGGTTTTGCATATGTTCAGAATCACGATTTCTAAACATTTTAAGAACTCAATTCTCTGAAGCCATTTATTGTAATAGCCACTGTCTGATTTTTTGTTACTTTGCATAATCATTATGAATTTAAACTGACACCATTTTTTTTCTTTTCTTTTCTATTTTGCCCGGTTGATTTTGGGGAATAATTGTGGTTTCTTAGTTGGAGGTATTTGAGCCAATTTCTTGCCAGAATTACTGTTGTTCCTTATTTTGTTCATTACTAATTCAAGCAATAAGTTGTAATTTTTTGACAGGGTGACACGAAGGGATCTGCTAGTGGAGGTGATCGATCCTCTAAAAGGGATATAGTTGGTGCTCAGATTGATCCAAATTTGGAATTTTTTTTTTCTTTCTTCTGTAAACTGTAAGTGATTTCATGGAATACGGGGAGCAAATATTCCGGCAAGCCCGTACTCCTTTCTTCCAAGCTCCCAGTCTGTCCGATCGCCCTGCGAGCACAACGGCGATGAGCTACCCGGTGGTGTGTGGCCGGAAAATTCCCCCGACGGTCAAGTTACACTACAACAAAAAAGGCCTATGGTGACGAAAACGCGTGACGAAAAAATATTTAGTCTCCAAATATGCATGTTTTAGTGATGAAAATAAGATTTCGCCTCCAATTATATTATTTTCAGAGACGAAAACCAAATTTCATCACCAAATGCTTAAAATCAAATAAAACAATAGGTGACGAAAATTTTATTCGTCTCTAAATTTTATTTTTCATCACAAAACAATTTCCTGCCCTTGGAAAATTTGGTGGAAGATTTGGCGCCATTTTGGAGACGAAATTTGTCGTCACCATTGTAAAAAATTTTAGAGAGGAAATAATTTTGTCTCCAAATGTATTATTTTCAGAGTAGAAAACCAAATTTCGTCACCAAATGCTTAAAATCAATAAAAAATACAAGAAATCTAGGCTATTGTGACAAAATTTGGTGACGAAATTTGTTTTGTCTTAAAATTTAACCCAAAGATGACGATATAGTAATTTTGTCGTTTGTTTTAATTTTTCTCAAAAGTATAGGAGACGAAAACAAAATTTCGTGTGCAAAAATGAGGCGCCAATTTCATTTGCATTGGCGCGAATTATTTTAGCTCATTGGAGACAAATATTTTTGTCACAAAATATAAATTTTTTTGTGACGAACGTAATTCGTCGCCAATAAATTCCATACCTATTAAACGATGTCGTTGCATATTTCCATTTATTATGTGACAAATATATTTTTTTCTGCGACGGATAAGTTATGGAAGACGAAAATATTTCGTCACCAATAAACACTCCATCATGCAGACAATGTCATTTCATCTTTCTATTAAATAGGCGACAAATATATTTTTGTTTCAGAAGAATAAGTTGTGGGAGACGAAAATATTTCGTCACTAATAAATTCTAATTGATTCAAACAAGAATACATTTTTCATCTCATAAAGTTAAGTTGTGGAAGACAAAAATATTTCATCACCAATAATAAATTCTTTGTTCTGGTATTGAAGGATACAAAAATGTATAGACTAAAATGACATAAGGGGTAAAATATAGAGACCACTGGTATAATTTGCCCTATTATGAATTTTATACCTAAACAATTTTATTTTGGATCAGTTTTAACCCTACCATTAGCTACCGCTTATAATGAAACGAAAATTGCTGACATAACACTAAAATTTTGTTTGAAATTTCGTCACCAAATGCTTAAAATCAATAAAAAATACAAGAAATCTAGGCTATTATTGTGACAAAATTTGGTGACAATTTTTTTTTGGTCTTAAAATTTAACCCAAAGATGATAAAATATTAATTTTGTCGTTTGTTTTATTTTTTCTCAAACGTATAGGAGACGAAAAAAAATTTCGTCTGCAAAATTCAGGCACCAATTTCATTTACATTGGCGCGAATTATTTTAGCTCATTGGAGACGAACATTTTTGTCACAAAATTTAAAGTTTTTTGCGACAAAAGGAATTCGTCACCAATAAATTCCAAACTTATTAGACGATGTCGTTTCATTTTTTTATTTATTTGGTGACAAATATATTTTTTGTCTGGGAAGGATAAGTTATGGAAGACGAAAAAATTTCATCACCAATAAATCCTTCATGCTCGTTTTATTTTTCTGTTAATTAGGCGACAAATATATTTTTGTCTCGGAAGGATATGTTTTGGGAGACGAAAATATTTCGTCGTTAATAAATTCTCCATGTGTCGTGTTGCATTTTGATTGATTGTGCGACGAATATATTTTCGTCTCATAAGGTTAAGTTGAAGGAGACGAAAATATTTCATCACCAATAAATTCTCCATCTCCACACAACATTGTTTTTGTATTTTTGTTGATTAGGCAACGAACATATGAGTTTGAGACGAAAATATTTTCTCACTAATTATTTCTCTTTATTAAAATGTCGTCAGAAACTAAGAGACGCTCTTACCTTAATCACTTACTTTCACACACACACAAATACTAAAGTCGTGACCCGAAAAGACACCCTCTACAAATCCTCATTTCTCTCTCGCACTTGAGTCTTCTCTCTTACAAGTATTGAAGCTGTGACTCAAGAAAATAATCTCTATAAACCATCTCTTCTATTTCGCACTGAAGTTCTCTATTCTCTCACATTTAAGCCATTTGTGCATGCAAACATTGTTATCCAAGAAGACATTTTGTGCAAAGCTACTATTCTTTCTCACAGTAAACCCCTCTCCACAAAAAGAAAAAAATAATAATAATAATTAGACAAGGAAACAAAATACAAGAAATCTAGGCTATTGTGACAAAATTTGGTGAATGCAAACATTGTTATCCAAGAAGACATTTTGTGCAAAGCTACTATTCTTTCTCACAGTAAACCCCTCTCCACAAAAAGAAAAAAATAATAATAATAATTAAACAATGAAACAAAATACAAGAAATCTAGGCTATTGTGACAAAATTTGGTAACTTAAAATTTAACCCAAAGATGACAAAATATTAATTTTGTCGTTTGTTTTAATTTTTCTCAAACGTATAGGAGATGAAAAAAAATTTCGTCCGCAAAATTCAGGCGTCAATTTCATTTGCATTGGCGCAAATTATTTTAGCTCATTGGAGACGAACATTTTTGTCACAAAATATATATATTTTTTGCGACGAACGTAATTCGTCACCAATAAATTCCCTACCTATTCAACAAAGTCGTTGCATATTTCCATTTATTAGGCGACAAATATATTTTTGTCTAGGAATGATAAGTTATGGAAGACGAAAATATTTCATCACCAATAAACACTCCATCATGCAAACGATGCCGTTTCATCTTTCTATTAAATGGGCGACAAATATATTTTTGTCTTGGAAGAATAAGTTGTGGGAGATGAAAATATTTCGTCACTAATAAATTCTGATTGATTGCGCGATGAATATATTTTTCGTCTCATAAGGTTATGTTGTGGAAGACAAAAATATTTCGTCACCAATAATAAATTCTTTGTTCTTGTATTTATGGAGACAAAAATATTTTATCACTAATTATTTCTCTTTGTTAAAATGCTATGGTTTTTTGTTTTAGAGCACTGAAACCGTCACCCCAAGAGACACACTCTGACCTTTATCACTCGTTTTCATGTGCACGGACACTCAAGTCGCTACCCAAGAAGACACTTCCTAGAAACTCTCATTTCTCTCTCACACTTGAGCCTACTCCTCTCTCACAAATATTGAAGTCGTGAAGCAAGAAGACACTCTGTAAACCATTTCTTTTATTTTCGCACTAAAGCCCCTCTCATATGTCTCACACTTAAGCCCTTCATGCATGCCAGTATTGAAGCTATTATCCAAGAAGGCACCCTATGCAAAACCGACTATTCTTTCTCATAGTGAAGGCGCCCCTTGCATAAGCACTTTTCTCATTGTCTGAACCAATTCTACCCTTTCCGTCTAGAAGACTCATTTTAGAAAAATCGCAGGTCAAAACCCCTCTCCAAGAAAAAAAAAAAATTTGTGAGAAAAAAAACAGAGGAAAAATTAATAATAATTTTTTAATTTTCAAAATTAATAGAAAACATTACCTTGTTTAGTATGGAGTTTTCAATAATTAATTTTTAATTTTTAATCTATATTTTTTTAGTGAACATTTTTTAATATTATAATTTTATTTTTTTTTACTTTTTAAATCCCTTTAATTTAGATGAGGGCAAATTGTAGCAATTGTCCCGGTACTTTGGTCCTTGTGTCATATAAATGGTATGTGCCATATCTATATCTATCTATCTATCTATCTATCTATCTATCTATATGTCTATATCTATCTATCTATCTATCTATCTATCCAATATATTAAGCAAAA